TACATGCCATCAGGTACTTTTCATCCCCCAAGCCCGTGGCAACCACTAATTTACTTTGTCCCTATGGACTACATATTTCATAAATGGAATCATACAGTATGTAACCTTTTCCCATAAGTTTCTCTCACTTAACATAAATGGATAAACTTTATCCATTCTGTAGCATAAATAAGTACTTCAGTCTTTCACAGGGTAGGATAATATTTGATATTTTTGATACATTGTGTTTGTAAACTTACTTGTCAGCTAATGGGTATTTGGGTGTTTTCATAGGATTTTTGATGTGGTAAAATTTTAATCATTTCATATGCTAACTTAAGAAATTGAGACCCAGTGATTCAATGAGAACCATCTCTGGTTACAAAGACGTAAGAATCATACACTTAAAATGACGAAGAAAAAGATCCCTGGTATACGTGAGTCTAACAGTACAATGCAAGATTGGCCAAGACAGAATCTAGTGAAAATCAGGTAGATTAGGAAAAATGTCACTGAGTCAAAGAGTTTAAGATCAACAGTTTGAAATTTTTTTAAAAAAAGAAAGAAATGAGAACAATGCAGAAAGAAAAACTTAAAATCAAAGAAAGAAACATGGAAAGTACGGCAAAAGCTCCCACTTACACGTGGGAGCACTTCACAAGCTGCTTGACTAAATGGCACAAAATTTTAATTCCATGAAAGGAAAAAGCTTCAATTCCCAATCCCTGGCTATTTCCAGAATGACACGTTATTCATAAATCCCCTAATGTGTACTGTTAATTTTTACATTCAAAGTAACATAACAAAAAAGAATATTAAAGCCTTCCTATCAACTCTACAGGAATTCTTTCCACCACATTATTTTTCTTCAACAAGAACAAAGACAGCTGAACACCGGCAAAATGACTAACAGTAAATGCTCCATAAGATTTGATTAATGAAGTTGAAGACAATAACAGGTCTTTTAATGTTTATTTATTTGAAAGTCACAGGGTCAAAGGGAGAGGGAGGCAATCTTCCATCTGCTAGTTCACTTCCCAAATGTCGGCAACAGCACAAGCTGGAGCAAGCCAGTCAGGAGCAAGAAACTCCATCCGGCAAAATGACTAACGGTAAATGCTCCGTAAGTATTTGATTAATGAAGTTGAATGACATGAGTGACATGCGCCCAAGCACTTAGCTCATCACCTGCCACATTCCCAGGTGCACGAGCAGGAAGCTGGATCAGAAGTGAACCGGAAGAGACTAACAGGCACCACTCCAATAATGAATGCTAGCACAACAAGTGGCAACTCAACAATATTTGCCCCCAGTAGCAGATCTTTGTATCTCTTCCCAACTTAATCTTTCACTAAACATAAATTTAAACCCTTACATCCAAATCTATAGCCTTGTCAAAAAAAAAAAAAAAATAGCAGAACGTGAAAGGCAACAGATAGTCAACTAAACATTTCTAGGAAGAAAACATTCAGAAGCCGGCACCATGACTCAACAGGCTAATCCTCTACCTTCAAGTCCTGGATTCCATATGGGACTGGTTTTCTACTATCCAGTTCCCTGCTTATGGCCGGGGAAAGCAGCAGAGGATGGCTGAAACCCTTGGGACGATATATCCATGGGGGAGATTCAGAAGAAACTCCTAGTTCCTGGCTTCCAATCTCCTCAGCTCTGACCATTGTGGCAATTTGGGGAGTGAACCAGTAGGTGGAAGATCTTTCTACCTCTCCTTCTCTCTGTAAATCTGCCTTTTAAATAAAAATAAGTAACTTCTTAAAAAAAAAAGTCACTCTCCTTATACAAAAGTTGTGTAAAATTGAAATGTCAATGAAGTAATCACAGGATATGGCTAAGAACTTGCATTTTCTAATCATATCGGTCACTCAATACCACGTCAATTAACTCCATAAGTTTGTAAACCATTGTTGATGTTATGTTGCAGCTCTTAATGGGTCCGGACGATATTCTGCCAGCTCTGCCTTCAGACCAGAGAAGGTCTGCCCAAGAAACTGTCGAATTTATCTGGACAAAAAGATACTGGACACTATGCAAAGCACATGCTTGCAATGAAAGAATTATGGCTGGATTTGAATTGTAATACTGCAATAAGGTGGAGGAATCCACCATGAGGGGTGGGTACGGAAAGGGGTTGGGGGAATCCCAGAGCCTATGAAACTGCATGATAAAATCAAATGTAATAAAAAAAAAAGTCACCTGACACATATTCAAAAAACAGGGGCACCCAGTGTGGTAGCCTAGTGGCTAAAGTCCTTGCCTTGTACATGCCAGGATTCCACATGGGCGCCGATTCGTATCCCAGCGGCCCTGCTTCCCATCCAGCTCCCTGCTTATGGCCTAAGAAAGCAGTCCAAGATGGCCCAAGGCCTTGGGACTCTGAACCCAAGTGGGAAGACCTGGAAGAAAGTCCAGGTTCCTGGCTTCAGATCAGTTCATCTCCAGTTTTGCAGCCACTTGGGGAGTGAATCAGCATAAAGATCATCCTCTCTGTCTCTTCTCTATATATATCTGCCTTTCCAATAAAAATAAAACTTAAAAAAAAAAAAGTCAACTGGACCTGGTGCAGTAGCCTGAGAGTGAACTAGCAGACAGAAGATCTTATTCTCTGTCTCCCCTCCTCTCTGTAAATCTGCCTTTCCAATAAAAATAAATAAATCTTTTTTTAAAAAAAAAGTCAACTGGGCCTGGCGCAATGGAGCAGTGGTTAAGGTCCTTGCCTTGCACTCCCAGGATCCCATATGGGCGCCGGTTCTATACTGGCAGCCCCGCTTCCCATCCAGCTCCCTGCCTGTGGTCCGGGAAAGTGGTTGAGGACGGCCCAAAGCTTTGGGACCCTGCACCCGCGTGGGAGACCCAGAAGAGGCTCCTGGCTTCGGATCGGCATAGCATCGCCGTTGCGCTCACTTGGGGAGTGAATCATCGGACGGAAGATCTTCCTCTCTTTCTCTCCTCTCTGTATATCCGCCTTTCCAATAAAATAAATCTTTAAAAAAAGTCAACTGACACATCTCCCAACAACAAAGGCTAGAACAACTGAATGAGAAAATAAATGACAATTGGATGCTCCTTGACTTAGCGCTGGGGTAACATTCCCACACACAAAATCATTAAGTCAGAAAGACACGTAACATAAGGAAGCCCCTGCATAGCACACCTTCACAACATTCTAGAGTGCAGAGCACCATCTCGCCTTCTGCAGCCCGGAACCAGCTGGCAGCTGGGGTACCCGATGCTGTTCATACCGGCAGAGTGTCTGCCTCCCATCACTGGCCACAAGTTCCAAACTCCAGCCGTAAAGTAAAAATCATTCCTACAGAGTGCTTTAATTATTCTTGTACCATCATAATGTCAGAAAATCCCACAGTAAACCAAAGACTGTATCTGAAATATAATACTTAAAATTCCATACTGACATAAATAATTGGACAAAAACTAATTGGAGGATAAAGGACAGTGCTTCCTTGCTGGAGGACTCAAATTCATACACATAGGAGGCCTGAGGGAAATGGAAGAGCACTCTTACACAAACACCTGAGTAATAATTACCGTGGGCAAGAACCGGCAGTTCATGCTCCAGATGGTGGACAAAAGTCTGGTTTAAAAAAAAAAAAAAGCAGGATCTCTGCATAACCGCGAAGCACCATTCTGCAAGACTCTCACTGAGCACAAAGGAAAAGTCAGCTAACTTCACAGTGAAGATACCTATCTGAGAGATCAAAGGTAACAAACACTAAAGATGGGATAGGTATTGTGGCCTAGTAGCTGCCTGTGACAATGCTTGCATCCCACGCATCCAGGTTGCTGTGTTTCTGATCCAGCTCACTGCTAACGTGCTTTGGAAGCAGTGTAACACGGCCCGAGTGCTTAGGCCCCTGCACCCTCATGAGTGACCCGAATGAAGCTCCTGGCTTCTTCCTGGTCCAACCACAATTGTGGTTATTTGGGGAGTGAACCAGTGGTAGATTTCTTTCTATCTATCCCTCTCTTTCTGTAACTCTGCCTCTTAAATAAATCTTGAAAACAAAACAACAACAACAACAAAAAAAACCAACAAACAATAAAGACCAGGGGCCATCACACTCCTTTTTCTGATGCACTGAGAAAGCTACAACAATATATCTGCAGTGTTCTGAGGGAAAAATACATTTTCACTCAAATGAAAAGCAAATACAAGCTTGAGAAGAATTCAAAAGTTTTGTGGAAAATGGAATTAAGAAGTGAGTTTGCTTTTCCAAAAACTTTCAGAAGAACCCTGGAATTAGGACAAACTCACAGTGACATTTTAAAAAGTTTGCATCCAGTTCTCTGCACAATTGTCCGGGTTCTGAGAGACAAAGACTGGGGGGCTGCACGGAGTGGGGAGCTGAGGAAACCTAAGCACAACTGGTATTCCAGTTTGGGCCAAGATCAAAAAATGGACGGGAATGGGGAAACTGACACTATTCAAATAGGGCCTCTAGAACAATGAACAATATTATATGTATTAATTTCCTGTAGTACTTTTCTAAGTTTTCTGTAACTCTAAATTTATTGGGGTTTTTTGACACAATATTTCCAGGTGTGACATCTTGCTGTTTGAACCCCATTGTGAAGAATGTGATTCATGTTGGCTAGTTATTACAATTTCTACAGCAAGAGATTATCAAATGCTGTCAAATTCAGAATCACCAAAGCTAGTTCTTATAACAAGAAGCCGGTGAATGAAAACCAGACTGGCTAAAACTCACATGGTACACAGTCCACAAACTATACCCACTTGCTACATGGTTTCAGGAGCCAGAAAAAAAAGGCATGAACTTGTGACCATAAAGCACTGGCCCACAACACAAACAAAATCACTTTAAACACAAAATATCAAGAGTTACATAAAACCAACTTAACGTGAAGAGATCATGACTTGACGAATTTCATGGTATTTGATTTTTATGAATCTTGTTAGGACAGTTTATCATTAGGGAAAGGCTGACTGGTGCTGAAAAATTCACAGAATTAGCTCTCATACATACCCAGATTTCAAGTCAGTTATCCTCAAACAGTTTGTAGCATCCAATCCCACTTTTCCATTCCGTACCACACTGGATATGAATGGGGAGAGCATTGGAGAAATACGGTTCAAGGCCACTTCTGGGGACATTTCAACTCAGCTTGCCAATCACCACTGAAAATAAAGGGGAAAAAAATTGGTCCTCAGAGTTTACAAAGGAACCAGGTATAGCAACCTCCCACAGACTGCACAGCACTCAGCATTTTCCATCACTTTCCCTCCGCAGAGCAACTACTCTCAATGAATCTCCAGGAGGACCAACTCCCAGTGCTCTGCCATTGGTACAGGGACTATACCACTGATCTGGAACAAAAGAAACCTTTACAATACAAATATCTCCTTTCCAACGCTCATTTCCTTACTGTCACCCCACTGGAATCAACTGGCTTACCCAACCCTCTTCCATAACACACACACACACACTCCACTGGGAATCCTCTATATTCCCACAAAAGGTAGGAATTTGACTAATAATTCCATCTGAAACTCTAGGACAAGTGTAATTATTTGTAATCATTATTTACTAGGAATTAGGTATGGCTGATAAACGTCCCTTGAAAACTGACCCCTACAATGTATTCAACTATCTGCCTATGTGCTTCTCTCCCTCTGCAAGAATTTTATCTTGCTCGCTAGTATTTACCAAAAGTATCTACTACATACTAAGCATTCAATACACACTTTTAAAAAATGACTGGATAAAGGGACAAAAGCTAGAGAAATATTTAAGTAGGGAGAGAAGATAAAATCTCTCAAATAATCTGGTAAAGGGAACAGATATGGAACAATTTGAAAAACAAATACAGCAAATTCTACTGAATGAAGTAACAAAAACATACACCCATTCAGATATTAAGCAACACACAGTAAAGGAATCCGTACACATAAAAATACAGAAGTAAAACTAACAAATCATATCTCAATTACATGGAAATTTGGGGGGCTAAGTGAAGGAGCACATGAATTCCTCTGAATAGATTTCTGAATGAAAGCCTCTACTTTCAGAGGTGAATAAGTCAATTCAAACGAACATTTTCTTCCTCAATCTGAAAGGCTAATCCCACATCAAAAGCAAAGTAATTTCCAGCAAATTACAAGTAACTGATGTTCTGGGTCTAGTTTGCACATATTAAAATACACTTTGCAAGTTCCTGCTAAAACAAATGTAAAAACTAGACCTGGTTTGAATTTCTGTTTTCTGGGAGTAACAAAGGATTGAAGTCAGCACTCAAAAAGGAGTAAAACTGCGACCCTATAAAGTGATGACACCCAGGAAGTACCTGAGGCAGAAAAAGCTTTCTACTTTATTTTTCAGGAAATATCAAACAAGCTCAACTTCCAATACCTTAACACATCTTTTCTCATCACCATTCTAAAGCATCATCTCAAGGAGCCAACATCAAGTGCACTCTGCCATAAATCATCAAAGTCACATTTTGTAACACTTCCTCAATTATAAAGAGCTTCCACACACATTGCGGTTGATATTCACAACGAGGGTATAAAGCAAGTGCTTTAATTCACATCTTGCTGATGATATAGGTAACTGTTATACCTTGTCTTTGAGCAGTATACTAACCCATGTTCCCATTTTGAAACCTATTTTTTTCTTCTATTCTGCAACATTTCCACTCTCATGTCTACGTGCTGATGTCACAGTTCTTGAGGTGATGCTTATCTAGACCACAAGCAAAAAACACAAAAATATCCATCTTGGAAAAAACAAAAGATCTCATCTACATGACCAAATTATTCTTCTAGGGTTTTTTCCCCCCCTTAGTCCTTTTATTTTGACCTCTCATTTCCACAAAAAAAGGAAACAGAAATACATTCTGAACATCTACTTATTAATGGCACTATATTTACCACTCAACTGTTCATTTCCCACCCCAATAACCCAGATCCCTGGTTAATGTTATCATTCTAAATTGACAGGTAAGAAAACTGCAGCTGAGCAACACAGAATAATATTCAAAGCCACAAGCCAACAGCATCAGAAACCACGTCCACTGTACCCATCTTCCTACCAAATACACCTGACAACTGCAAGCACCAAACAGAAAAGCATCCAAATGATTTAAAAGAGATTGTAAAATATAAACAGACAAGGCATGAATTCAAATGAACGAGGGCTTCCCAACTAGACACAAACTAGACCGGCTGTCGGCCTTCTGTGGCACCCACCGAATAGTCAAGAGTACAGAAAGAAACCGTTCCACGAGACAATGGCCCTCTCCTATTCAGCCACTGACTTAGGTGTGGTTTGGGGGCCACAGCTAAAAGGAAGAATCTGTCTTGATTTCCAGAACAGCCATATGTGATGTTTCAGCAGTGCCAAGATTTCAGGACACATTCAAATGTTTGAACCACAGGGAAACGTGATTTTTTAAGAATAAAGCTACATCCACCCCCAAATCAGAGATCTCTGAATAACAAACAAGATGGCCTTTTGTTGTGATGAGCTGAGGACAGGGAGGCAGAGCACACTCCTTTTTTTTTTTTTAACACTAACACAAACCTCAAATAGGTTTCAAAAAAAATTATGGTGGTGACCAGGCTCCCTCGCACGCTCTTAGATTTGTATTTCCTAATGGTGATGTGTTGCTGAAGAAAATGTAAAAACGCGATTTTTATCACGTGTCCACTGCCCCAAGCGAGGAGCATGTAAGGTCAACTGATGGGCGGCTCGGGGACTACAAAGACGTCTAAAGCCCAATCCAGCCTCTCGCAATTAAGACAGGATGACAAACACGGAAACATGTGCCCCCGCTGACGTCATGGAACGGAAAGGGGTGGCGTCCTGCTGCGTCACGTCAACGTCACGCAGCGCACGAGGGAAGTTACACAAGGGACGCAATTTTTCCAGGGGACAACATTCAAAGAAAAACCTGCCAGCTCAGACCTAAAGAATGCCCACCCCTTGCTAGGAGTCGTCTATTATAAGGGGACATTTTCCGTCTCCCAAATTGTATGCTTTCCCTCATCGAACTAGAAAGCAGGGAGAGAGGAATTAATCCCGCGGGCTGAATCAGGGTCCAGGCGGGGGAGTTAGGCGAACTAGATATGAAGAAAGAGGAGGAAGCCTCTGGCCTGGGTGGCTCGTTCGTGAGGGGACCGGCACGACCGGGCTGAGGGGGATATCTGTGGAAGCGGGCCTTCTCAGGAGGAAGAGGGGGCGAGTCCGCTGGCCATATTTAAACCATGACTCAGCGCCACCTGTGCGACTCGGGATCCAACCTCCCCGCACCAGCCCCAGTCCAGGTACCTGGAACTTAACAGTCCGATGGGTAACCGGCGACTACGTGAGGTACAGGTTACCCGAGCGCGCCCCCGACCGACGCATCGACCTGCGCGCGCACCGCGGGCCGGATGCGTGCGCGCCCCTAGGACGTCCTGCCCCGCCCCCTCGGCGGCCCAGAAGCCGGGCGGCGTGCGCGTCCCCGCGCCGGTCGCTGCGGAAGGCGTCCCCGCCGTGCCTGAAAGTCCCGCCTCTGGCGTCAGTCTCTCGGGTTGGCGCGCGCCTCAGAGTCTCGCAGTAGCCGTCCAGAGGGGCCTCCGTACCGGGAAAGAGCGGGGAAAACATTTCCTTAGAGGATAGGGGTACAAATGGTGGGCAGGGTTAGGTCGGGCATCGGAGTGGGCAACCCGCCCCGGCCTGTGGGAGGCCCACGAGAGGGGCGTCAGGGGGCTGGAGCGGCGAGGCAGGGCGAAGGTCAGAGGGGAAAGATCAGTGTCCCCACTGCACCTTTAGCCATGGCGTCGTGTGGGGATCCCGGGCGTCAGTGTCAGGAGGAGGCGGCCGCGGTGGTAGTGGTGGGCTCGTGCATGACCGACCTGGTCAGGTTAGTGCGGGGGCTCGCGGGAGGGGGCGGACCGCGCTGTGGGCACTGCCGCTTCGGGGAATAGACTGGTAGCTGCGAGCTTCCGTGCCTTGCACGTGCGAGGGGCAGAGTTGGCGACCTTGAATGTCAGGGAGGAGGACGTGGAGGTCAGGTTCTAGATGGGCAGCTGCGCCCTCGGGCTCCCTAAGGCCGAGTCTGTTCCTCCGCAGGGTTGTTTGGGGGCTGGATGATGACTTGTCCACTGCACAGTGACCCAGGCCGCTGTTAATGCTGTGAGCTGGTGTAAAATACAAGAGGTGACAGGGCTGAGCCCTTGCCTCTCACCGTACTGGCCGCTGGCACTTCTGCAGTGTTTTTTTAAATATTTATTTTTTATTACAAAGTCAGATATACAGAGAGGAGGAGAGACTGAGAGGAAGATCTTCCATCTGATGATTCATTCCCCAAGTGACCACAATGGCCGGTGCTGTGCCAATCTTGGGTGCAGGGTCCCAAGGCTCTGGGCCGTCTTCGACTGCTTTCCCAGCCACAAGCAGGGAGCTGAATGGGAAGTGAAACAGCTGATTTTAGAACTGGCGCCCATATGGGATCCCAGTGCATTGAAGGCAAGGACTTCAGCTGCTAGGCCACCGCACCGGGCCCTCTGCAGTATTTTTATGGCAGCTTACTTTTCAGTAGTACAATGACTGTCTTATAGCAAGCCGTGGAAGTCCAAATAAAAACCCATAAACACTGTATAATCTTTAGTAAGCTATGGTTCTTTTTGTGCACCTTTTTTTTTAATAGTAAAAAAGTACTCATTAAAGGGAAAAAATCAGATATACCAAGCAAATCCTACCTATCCAGTAGTTTCTTTCATGTATTGGTGGACGGTCTCATCCATACTGCCTTTCCACATTAACAAATGGTGGCTGCAGGTGCAGTGCAGTCCGTTAAGCTGCTGCTTTTGCCGCCAGCCTGCTGTGTGAGTTCAGCTGCCTGCTTCTCCACCAGGGAGGATGACACAGGAACACGGGCTCCTGGCTTCCGCCTGCTCCGATCCCAGTTCTTCTGAAACAGGCAGATAGATGGAAGCTTGCTCTTGGTCATTCCACCCTTGAAACGGATGTGGTTAATACAGCAAGGGCTCATCTCTCGGAATCTGGCTTTGCCGTAGAGCCTAGAAATATCCATAAAGGTCTTGAGGGTCAAAGAGGGAAATCAAAAGTGACCAAATCCATCAAGAAACCACTTGTTCCTACTCAAAAAATAGTCCTGGAAGCTTTAGGATTATTTTTAGTCCTGTTTTATCTGACCTGCTTAAAAATGTTTATGTGACCAACTTTCCAAGGCTAGAGAGGCTGTGAGGGGCAGGCCTGGGGTGGGAGGGCGCCGGAGAACATCTCTGCAGGCTCTGGAGGCGCTGCGGGGCAAGCATAAGCCCCCAGGTGGACCCCTCTCCCAGCGGGAGCACCACATCCAGCCCCACCGGGACTTTCCGGAAGAAGCCAGGGCAGGAGTCAGCACACCTTTCCCTTAAGCATTGACTAAAATGTTGGATGGTTTAGGCTTTACATGGTCAGGATCACATCCTTTTTTTAAACAATCTTCAAAATGTAAAAGTCCTTGTCATCACCCAGGTCTTGGGGGGCGGGGGAGAAGTGCTTATTATGCACAGGTTACAGGTTTTAAAGGGTAAGGAAGGGGAGGGCAGACCTCACACCCTCTAAAGATGTTGCAATTGGCTGTAGGACAGGTCTGTTTCCCTAGATCTTCCGGTCATTTCAGAGGTCATGTTCCAGATGTACTCCCATTAACCTTGCAGCCATGTTGGAGGTCACACTCCATGTGTAGTCCTGGAAGCTGTGCTTCAAGCCATGGGGAAGGTTTGGCTTAAGCCACACCTTCCAGGCTACTGGGCAGGGGTCGCCCACAAGGGTTGGGGGACCAGGTTCCAGAAGCTTCAACCCCACTGACAGTGGCAGCCAGCGAAGTGGAACCTACCTAACCAGTAAGCTTCCTTGGCTTGTGATAAGCGGAGAAACCTTCAAGTGACCGCCAGTAAGGGGCCGCTTCTATAGGCCGGGTGGTTCCTGTGATTCACGGAGCAGCTGGAGTGTCAGCAAGAGCAGGAACTGGAAGAAGACTCCTTGCTGGTTTTTTTTTCCTCCAGTGGTCCCTCATTCCTTAGTCTCCATGTCCTTCTCAAAGCCGTGGCGGGGCCTGCCGTGCTGTGGTTGGGGGAAGGCTCTCTCTCAGGCAGCACCTGCCTCCTCCCACCCCTGTCCACAGCTGTTGTAGTGGCCTCCCCTGCATGCCTGTGGCCACTAGCACCACCTCCCTGTCCATGCTTCTTGTTTCCTGGGTGTTGAGCGTGGGGCATTTCAGGCATGGGGGGACCTGATAAACAAACAGGACAGGCAAAATACAAGTAAGATTTTAACAGTGAATGCTGTCATGAGACTTTAGTAGAAGCCACCACGCCTAGTCATGGAATATCAAAAAAATTCAAAAGAAAAAGTGGCAAACTGGAAGGAATCAAAGTTCTCATATCTCTGTTTAAGTCTAGAACATGGTTTTCAACACTCTTATATAAAGGACTCATACACATTGGCCTGTTACATCTACTGACCACTCAATATGACAGTCCAAATTGAGAGAATACCGATTGCCAAAAGGAAATGCATAGTGTGGTTCAAAAACTGTAGCGATGCAGTCAGAGAGCAGAGAGCTGAATTAAAAGTTAGGGTCGGGCCTGGCGGCGTGGCCTAGTGGCTAAAGTCCTCGCCTTGAATACACCGGGATCCCATATGGGCGCCAGTTCTAATCCCAGCTGCTCCACTTCCATCCAATTCCCTGTGTAGCCTGGGAAAGCAGTGGAGGACGGCCCAAAGCCTTGGGATCCTGCACCTGTGTGGGAGACCTGGAGGGAGTTCCTGGCTCCTGGCTTTGGATCAGCACCGCACTGGCCATTGCGGTCACTTGGGGAGTGAATTCCGGATGGAAGATCTTCCTTTCTGTCTCTCTTCCTCTCTGTATATCTGACTTTGCAATAAACATAAATAAATCTTTAAAAAAAGGTAGGGTCACCCCATCACAATCATGTGTTATTGATGAGCCAGTACTTCTTGAATTGCTTTCTCCCTAGAATGGTGGTAGTGACAACATCTACCCTAAGCCATTGTAAAAAGATATTGTTAAGCTCAAACAATATAATCAGTTCTTGACTGTTCATGTTGATAGGAATGTGAAAGAAGCATGCTCACCAACAAAACAAAAATAGTAGATAAATTAGAATTTAATAATTGATTCCAGAATACATTATTTTTAACGCTGATTTATCCTTCTAATTATATTTTGCTTAGAATAAAATTAAAATTGAGCTTTATTTCTTTAAATTACACCAGCAGATGGCAGGAAAATGTAGCCCAGATAATTATAATGTGACAGAAGTCATTTTGGAATTAAAAATTTACTATAATTAATTGGCAAGCTAGAAAATATGTAACACTGGTTTTGTAGGTGTTTGTCACAACCATTTTTGTTATTAAATATATTCATACTTTTCTTATTTTTCATTGAATTTGTTATGCATCAAAACTGTCACAGATATTTTCACCTCACCAGTCCCCTTTCTATCTGTGTGCTGAATTTCCCATAGTCCAGCACCCTCACCTTTTTGCCATTTGAAGATTGTCCAATCCCCGCTTCCTAAATTTCCTAAGTGAACCCAACATTTTGTCTCCTCTCTTTCAGATTATAGTTCCAAAACTGACTCATTCCATACTTGCCTAGCCAAGCCTCTAATTTCTGTTTTGCAGTATTTATTCTAAAATGATTTTTGACGTTAAGTGATACTTATTTTAACTATACTTTTAATATTTTGAGCTATCTGCCTCTCCTTGTGCCTTATATATGCACTGTTACTCTTCTCTGCCATAGTAGAAGACAAAAACGACGTACCCCTTTTGGTTCCCATTGCTCTGGCCACGTTCCTGTGCCAAGGCTGTAGGTATTCTCGTCCCCTCACCACCATTCCTGCTGAAAAATTTAGTAATAACTAGTTCACTTTTTTCTTGGGCGACAGTACTTCTGCTCTGTTCTCCCCCTGTGTATTATGAGATCTGCCATTTGAAAGGCAGAGACAGAGATATGCTATCTACTAATTCATTCTTCAAATGCTCCCAACAGTGAGGACTGGGCCAGGCCAAAGCCAGGAGCGGTGAGCTCAGTGTAGGTCTCTCACATGGAGGTCAGGGACTCTATTAATTGAGCCATCACCGCTGCCTCCCAGAATGCACATGAGCAGGAAGTGGAATCAGGAGCAGAACTGGGACTCAACCCCAGGCACCCTAGCATGGGACAGGTACCTCATAATGTGTCTTAATCTGCCAAATGCCCACACTGCAACTGTGTATATGTTGGTAAGATGATTCAAAAATGTTTCCTTCTGACCAAGCTGGCGTAACTAGTATCATATTTGCCCTCCCACTATACACAGCTAGGAAAGTGGATACAACATAGCAGTGTTAAACAGAGGAGAAAGGAAACAACCAAGGTCAGTCCTGGAGGCTGATGCCTAACTCCAGCAAGGAGAGGAGAGACTGGTGGGACACAGGGCAAGAATCAGTGAGTTGAAGAAATAGCTTATAGCTTAGAGACAAGGAAACTAGAATTTGTGGCAAAGTATATTGGAAAAGAAGGAGCCAGTCCGGGAGAGCTGCAGACGTTTGCATAATAGTCCCCTTGAGTCTGTTGCTCAATACTAAATGGGCATGCATAGAATTGCACAAAGCCAGACAAGGATGGGAGGGCTGAAAGCCTAACATTTCCCAGAACTTACACAGGCATGGGAAGTATCAACATCTGTTCAGCCAAAGACATTGTTGAACCTTTGGAACATTAAGTAGAGATCAAGAAGGACCACGGCTTAATAAGATGGGTGCACTTAGCCTCCTGTAAAATCTGGCAACTGGCATTGTGGCACAGTGGGTTAAGCCACTTCCTACAACGTTGTTTCC